GGACGGATGCCTTGCGGCGTCACATAGTGTCCCAAGTACTCCAGCTCTTGCCGCGCGAATTCGCATTTGTCGCAGTTGGCTTCGTACTTGGCCTGTCGTAGCCGTTCCAGAACGGTGCGCAGGTGCTCCACATGCTCGTCCAAACTCCGACTGTACACCAAGATGTCGTCGAGGTAGATGAGTACGAAACGATCCAGCATGTGTCGAAACTCCAATGTCATAGCCGCCTGGAATGTGGCTGGGGCATTCGTAAGGCCAAACGGCATGACCAGCTATTCGAAATGCCCATATCGCGTTTTAAACGCGGTCTTGTATCGGTCCTCCAGGCGAATCTCAAGTTGGTGATAACCCGACTTGAGGTCCAACTTGGAGAAGAACTTGGCGCTGCCTAGTCGCTCCAGGAGATCGTCGATGCGTGGGAGAGGGTCGGCGTTCTTGACCGTCTGCGCATTGAGCTTACTGTAGTCGATGCACAACCGCAAATCCTTGTTCTTCTTCCGGATGAAGAGAACAGGCGCACCGTATGGCGAAGAGCTAGGTCGAATCCAGCCTTTCTACAGAAGGTCGTCGAGTTGTGCCCGTAGCACACTTAACTCTTCCTCGCTCATTCGGTAGATGCAACCACGCGGAGGTACAGCCCCGTCCTCGAGGATGATCTCGTGGCGGATGGGCCGATCCGGTACTACTCCGTGCGGGGCCTCGAACACGTCACTATAAGTGGCGAGAAGCTCAGTGATGCGTGGGTCCGATGATGCGTCCGTCAATGGGGTGTCCTGGGGCGGGAGTGCATGGAGAAAACACACCCCCATCTCCTCAATGTCATCCTTGATGATGAAACCTCGAAAACTTGCGGCGGACACCACGTGACAGCTGATCGAAGGGTGAGGAGGAGGCACCGTGCATGGGACTAGTACTCCATCCCGGTCACGAACGTGAACGGTGTGGCGGTAGAAGTTCACCGGGTGGTCCTCACTTCGCAGCCATGACATGCCCAAAATCATGTCGAACTTAGTGTCCAGAATGTCGAAGGACACGGCCTCGCGTGCATGCAGGGCGAAATACACAGGGACGTTGTCAATGCACCGGTCAATTGACTTGTGCGTGTGACCATCGGCCAACGTCACGTGTGTCGGATGGGACTTCCTCCTRACGCGTGGGCCAAGGCCGGCGCGTACCATGAAGTCCTGACTCATGTAGTTGCGAGTTGCACCTCAATCGATCAAGGCGCTGCAGGTCGCCTCTCCGATCTGAATGCGTACATACAACAATGGTGTGTCAATGTCGTCGTACCGTTGTATCTTGAACTCGCGGTCGATCTTCGCGATGTACTCTTGAAGGTCGACAACCTCTACTTCGGCGTCCATCAACAGAGTTGGTACTGCAGTGTGCAAATACTCCCGCAATTGTGCCATGAGCACATTGTAATGCGGTTTCGACAATCGACCGGTCGGGGGAACGGGCATCCACTGGAAATTTGCGGCTGTCAACGGGTCGAGCTCTTCAAGTCTTGACCACATCGACGAATCCCTTGAGGTAAATGATGGCGGAATTGCCGAATCGGTTGCCGATGGAGATGAAACCGTGCATGCGGTGGAGTGTTGCACGTGGAGTGGTTGGTCCAGCGGTGCGACCAAGTGGACAGCATAGTCCTCGTAAGTGACACGAGAACTTGCGACATTCGCATCCTCCCCAGATGTGTAGGAGGCCGCTAGCAAGGCGGCCGGATCTGGCGGAGTGGGAGGTGGAGTCACCTCACCTCCCGCGCTACTCAGTTTCCCGAGTTGTTGCGAGGCCGAACATCCTCCTTCTCCTTCTCCTGGCAGAGGGAGGTCTTGTTCTTGGTGCTATTGCACCAGTAGCAGCAGCCGTACCGACCACGGTACTTGTATTCGGCCTCGGTCAAGTTAAACTTGACCCATGGCGCTGGCTGTCCTGYTCCAGCCGATGATGTGGTCTTCGCCTTCCCATTGTTCCGGGACTTATTGGTGCTTCTTGGTTGGACAGCAGCCACCTGATCTCCTTCACTTGATGCCTTGGTGGCTGCCAGGTCGTCTCCACTGTCCGATTGGACTCTAGCGAAATGCTGCTGCCGCGGACCAGTCTTTACCTTTTCCACATAGGTTGGCTGCCATGCTGATTTCTCGTGTGCAGCCGCCCTATTAGTCTTGATGATCTCCCTCGCTTTGTCGATGATCTCAGCGAAGGTTGAGTACTGCTCGCGATCACCAAGTGCCTGGCTCAGTGCAGCACATGACCTATTGTAGAACTCTCGGCGCAGATGCGTAAATGGCAAGTCCAGATCCGGCGTTGCCRCGATCTTTTGCCATTCCGTGAGCCAGTCTCGTGTTGCCGTGTTGCCTTGGGTCATGGTGAAGAGGCGGTTGATGGCGAGGGCAGGGGCGTCGTCGACAATGAACCTCTTCTTCCACAACCGTGTCAACTTCTCCCATGTGATTTTGTCTCGAAGATCTACCACGTCGACGCCGTGAGTGGCTGCCAGATGGGTCAACCAAGTCTGGCATGCGCCCTTTGAGTTAAGGAAAAGGGCACCGATGTCTGCGTGCTTGGCGACTGGCAGGATCCGAAGCTGCGTCGTGAATGCTTCCCACCAGAGGACCAGATCCTGATGCGTGTAGTCGTCGAACTTCTCAAGTTGGAAGGTTGGCATCTTGTACAACTTATGATTGCCCTCCGAGTTCGTCGACTGCAGCTGCTGGACCTCGGTCTTCAAGGTGTGCAGCTGACTGCTGATGGTGGTAGGTGCAGCGAAAGCACTGATGTCGTCGAGCATCGCCACTACGTGGTCAACGTGTTCCTCCAGTTGGCGGCTAGAGGGTTCACTGCTGGACGTACCAGCATCTGGTCCTTGTACAAACTGTTCCAGGTCCAGTACACGGGCATTGAGTGTCTGTGTTGCATCCTCGTGGCCCTGCACTATTCGGCGGAGGTCTGCCAACTCTTGGTGCTGTTTCTCTAGTTCGGCCCGTTGGTAGTTGCAAGTATACAACAGGCGTGACACGAGCTTGGAGAGAAACTCCTTGTG